TTAATCTAAAGTTGATGTCTTTCGTTATAATTTTTTTCAATCTTTGTTTCATGGGTTTGTGTGTGTCATATTCCCGATTGCTTTTAAAATACAAATTACTTTGATGGAAATTATGACCAATTTTGTTTCACGCAGTATTATATATCAAAATGCATTATGTGTTTTGAAGAATCTTTCTCCAGACTCCTTCTTATTTTATATGTATGTAATGTATGTGTATATATGTATATAGAGATTCAGATATAGATGTTATGTATGTTTGTGTGCTGTGTGTGTGATGTGTAGATGTGTGTGGTTTGTGGTGTGTGTGTGTGTTGTGTGTGTGGATGTGTGTTGTGTGTGTGTGTGATGTGTGTTTGTGTGTGTGTGTGTGTGTGCATATATATACCATATTATATATACATATATATACATATATATGCATATATATATATATATATATATATATATATATATATATTTATATATTTTATTATTAGGAATATAACAGGGTGTTCAGTCTTTTCCCATTTTTACGACGCTACGGTATGCAAACAGAGTGAAGAAAAATAACGTCTTTATTACTGGGAAAAAACTGACAAATAGAGAGCAGTAGAGTCCTAATAAGTAAGATTTTTTTTTCCAAAGGAAAAACAATTATATCAAATTTCAAGAAATGTAGAAGGAGAAGAGGTAGAATCCAGAAAATAAAAACAGGAAGAATATCTTTTATTGAACTTAACTACTAACAGACAGCTCGAAAAGAGTCAGGTGATGGAAAAATGTAAATATTCGAGGAAAATATGTTTTGAACAAGACCCTTTATGAGAATATCATAACATGCAAAGAAGCAGCGAAGGAGAAGAACATAATAACGAATAGGAACAAAAAAGAAAAAAAAGTGACACAAAAAGTTTAATCATTAAGTCTATATATAATAACTTATAACTCATTTTCAAGAGACTGAATCACAAGAGGTACATCAATCACTTGGAAAAGAAAAACAAAACAACACAAAGAGAGAAATAAAACTATACACTGCAAGGGAGAAACAGTCAGACCCGTTGTAAAAATCTACGGACCTCATCGCCAGGTTTCAGTATGTACACTAAAATAGCCCTTAAACCCTACCAACAATTGCTTCACACAATGTACATATGAAGAGAAGTGGAAAAAATATAGATGTTTGTATATACGTATATATATGAATACATATCAAACAGTTTTGTTTTAATTCTTGTTATCTTAGACACGAATGAACTACTAAGCATGCTAATTCAAAAGGCTAATTAACAAGGTATCTTCGTGTTCCACCTGGAGTTATTCTCCTCCAGAGACACTTAAATATAACAATGTACACAGAGGTTGAAAAGTATCTCCTTATCAACAGCGAAAAAGGGGGACAAAATACACAAGTGAAGAATATTTTATATTATATGATATAACTTACACCGGTAATGAATCTCGAAAAATATCGAAAGTTGTAAAAACAGTTTAAGAAGACAAGTACATGAAATTCACTCTTGTGAGCACTTAAGGCAAAGATAAGAAAGCATGAAAATGTCTTATCAGGGATTATCATCTGAATTGTACTTATAGTCTGATCAGCATTATGTCTTAAATAAACATAATAGAGTACAAGGGAAAGAATGATCATAATCTTTGAAATATTGGTACGAGGAGACATTAAAATGATAGATGAAGAAAGGGAGAATTTCCTAGTATCGTAAATCATTCTGCTTTTAAAAGAGAGAGAGACTGAGAGGAGGAAGGGAGGGAGGAAAAGAGAAAGGAGAGACAGAGAGAGAAAGAGAGGAGAGACAGACAGAGAGAGAGAAGAGGAGACAGAGGGCAGTGGAGAGAGATGAGAGACAGAGAGATGAGAGAGACAGAGAGACAAAGAGAGAGAACAGGAAAAGACAGAAACAGAGAGAAGAAGAGAGACAGGACAAGGAGAGAAAGAGAAAACAGACAGAGACAGACAGACAGGCAGGACAAGAAGACAGAGACCATCACTCGAGCAGTCTAATATGAATGGAAATACCCATAAGATTTTCAGGATCAAAGAATATAAAGATCAGGTCAAGTATTCTTTCAGCCGCTTTCGAGAATTCCATCGATAAAGTTAATATTTACAAAAAAACTCTGTAAATATTTATGTTGTTGATATTCTTTTATAAACTATAGCTTTACCTTTTTTTCGTGATTCATTTTTTTCATTTATGATTATATAAATATTGTGTATCTTGATGCATACATATATTTTCATGTATGAGTGTATGTGTATATGATACGTTATATATCATACACAAACACACTCACACACAACACACACTCACACACACTCACACTCACACTCACACTCACCACTCACACTCACACTCACAACTCCACAACACACACAACACACACACCACAACACACACACACACACACACCACACACACACACACACAACACACCACACACACCACACTCACACACACCACACTCACACCTCACCTCACACTCAACACTCAAC